GTGTGAAGGATTATCCAAATGGACCACAAGGCAAATCTAGGGCAGGCAGTAGAGCCTAGTGGTGACAGTCAGATGGGTGACTGTGGAAAGTTACTGAACACCAGTTTCCTTATCTGTAAAATGGGGATGATAAGAGTTGTAGAGATGACATGAGATAATTTACATAAAGCACTTAGAACACTGCCTGACACATAGTAAAACCTCAAAAAATGTAAATAACTATTTTTACCATCTTTCTTGCCAATATCAGCCAAATCACGTGATTGAAGAGGCCATGAACTTGAAGAAGCCACATATCTTAGGCTTCAGCAGAAAGATATTTTGGCCATGATCTCAATTATGGATAAGGTCAAAATTGGAACCTTTTAATTATATTAAAATTGAGCCAGAAACTAATAATTTTTTTCTCTTCCCTGTCATAGAAATGCTCTCAGCAGACAGGGATTTTCTTTTATGGAGTCTCCAAAACATCATAGAGATTATAGCTCCCTGGCAGCACTGGCCATAAAAAAAGGGCAACAGATGAATTTTATTAAAATAATAATAGTAAAAAAAAAAAGGTTAAAACTATTAACCCAATTGAAGTCATTTGTCCATGATATTTTATCATTCTATGTTTAACATAACCATACTCTGAAAAATTAAAATAGCAACCACTTGGTTTTGGAGAAACATTTAACTCTGGGTGGCATAAGCCATTAGCCTGTCAAATTCACATGCTATTATCATAAAAAATGCTTACCATTGCTAATCAAGTAATTTATTCTATCAAATCAAGCAAAAATAAAATTAGGTTAGAAATATAGCAGTACACTCATATATATCTTATAAGTCTTAACATTAGGTGTTTCAGAAAAAATTAATGCATTAAAGAAATCTGCCATGGATATTATAATTACACCTATTTGTAAAAACATACTGTCACCGCAATGAGCTAAAATTGAATTTTTAACCTATGAGTATTGTTTTGCACAGCTGGAACACCAAGTGCTATATAGCATGCTTCCATTAACTGGATTTTCTTGTTTTCCCCTGTCTGCAGATAATAAAATGTACCACTGTAACTCACATAGTACCAATGTAACTTAAATGGCTTTTTTTCCTCTCAGTAAAATAGGATAGAAATGTAAATTCATATAAAGACATATCATTTCATTTTACCAGTTTGGAGTCAACTGGAATCTTAAAAAAAATGTTTTGCATTTTCCCCCCTCTCTCTTATTTACAATTATTTTGCTTTATGGGAATCTTTAAATCAGGATTATAAGAAGTCTTCGGATAGATTCCATTGGGCCAGCAAAATGTTTTGTTTTGAATTCAAATCTGAATGCCTTGAGGTGGAGGAAGAAGTGTCTATCATGCTTATACCCAACCAAGTTTGCACCTAAATTTGTTTGGCCTCTGCAGACATATCTGAATGTTTGATCCTTGCTTTAAAGGTGGTGGTAATGGCTGGTCTTAGGAAAACACTACGCTATGATCCCATGCAAAGGCAGGAGAGAGAAAACAACTGGGAATTCTTACAACTGTTACAACAGGTGAACAGTAATGTAAGTGAAGAGACAATTCATTAGTTTTAAAATAATTACTGACCTCATCACCCATGTGAGACTGAAACTCGAACTTCATCGGTGGACAGAAGGCAGCAGGGTACATCTCCATGAATCTCTGCTTATCACTTCTGGGCTCCAAATTGTCAACTGCATTTTCAATAATGTCTAAGCCTTCATGTCTGGAGGTTTCAAGGTTATACTCCGCAGAGAGATATGTTCTTAGGGCTCTGTTCAGACTTGCATGGTAGCCAAGATCACAGCACTTAAAAATTAAAAGCACATCATATACAGAAATTAATTTTAAAAGGATCAAAGACCTAAATATAATAGCTACAACTGTAAAATTCTTAGAAGAAAATAGGAGTAAACCTTCATGACCTTGCACAAGGCACTGGTTTCCTGAACATGGCATCAAAAAGCATGAGCAACAAAAGAAAAAAATAAATAAATAGGAGTTCATCAAATTTGAAGACTTTTGTGTTTCAAAAGACACTATCAAGTAAAAAGATAATCCACAGAATGGAAATTTTTTTTGCAAATCATATATCTTTTAAAGAACTTGTATCTAGAATACATAAAGAATTCTTATGACTCAATGTTAAGACAAATAGCCCAATTAAAAATGGGCAGTGGATCTGAATAGACATTTCTCAAAACAACAACAAAAAACCATATGGTCACAAATATATGAAAAGATGCTCAACATCATTAATCTTCGGGGAAATACCAATCAAAACCACAGTGAGATACCACTTCACACTCATTAGGATGGTCATAATAAAAAAAAAGTATAACAAGTATTGGGGAGGATATGGAAAAATTGGATCCCTTATACACTGTTGATGGGGGTGAAAATGTTGTAGCCACTTTGGAAAAGAGTTTGGCAGTTCATTAAAAGATTAAGCAGAGTTAACATATGACTTGGTAATTTCATTCCTAGGTATGAGAAATTTTCACACAAAAATTTATATGTGAATATTTACAGCAGCGCTATTAATAATAGCGGAAGAGTAGAAACAATCTAAATGTCAATCAACTAATAAATAGACAAAATGGTATATTATTCAGCCATAGACAAGAAAGGAGTACTGATACATGCTATAACATGGATCCACCTTGAAACATTATGCTACGTGAAAGAAGCCAGTCACAAGAGATCACACATTATATGATTCCATTTATATGAAATGTCCAGAATAGGCAAATCTGTAGAGACAGAGGGTAGATTAGTAGTTGCCTAGGGGTAGCAGATGGAGGAACTGCGGAGTGATGGCTAAGGGGTGCAGGATTTCTTTTTGGAGTAATGAAAATGTTCTAAAATTGATTGTGGTGATGGATGTACAACTCTGTAAATACACTAAATGCCAACTGTAGTAAACTGCGTGGTATGTGAATAATATCTCAATAAAGCAGTTAAAAAATAAAAGCAAAACCAAACACTGAAATAACGAAAAGATAGCATTCAAGTTTGTTTATGTATACTGAGATTAATATAATGATTTATTGAAATCCTTCTAGGATGCAAACACACTAATATTTTAGATTTGCATTAATTTACTTAAGACTCAATATAATCTGTACTCTTTCAGAAATGAGAACAGGTTTGATTCTGCCAAAATAACCTGAGAATGCCTCCTTTCTTATCCTTAGAATAAAACTCTTAAATAAGAAATGAATGCCAAAGTCCTTTTATTGGCGATAGAATTTTGTTTTGTATTCCTAGGAATAAAAGGGCTTTGGGATTCTTGAATTTACTATCTTTTTTAATTTACTATCTTTATTTAATTTTTAAAATCTATCTTTATTTACTATCTTTATTTAATTCACTATCTTTAATTTGTATTTATACTTATTTTATCATGTTGCATTTTCAGAAAATATAATTTTAAAAACATATAGCCCTGGATATAGGTCAGTTATAAATTACTGAAAGAATTTTATATTTGTACATAAAAGCGATATATATCTTTTAAAGAGGAAACAAGTGGTTTTAAAGGTACAAAACCAGGTCATCCCTATATTGTTCTGATGAAGTTCAATCAATTCAATTTGATTCAATTCAGGTCAATAATTGGCCATCTATTAGGTGCCTGGAAATTGCTAGGCTCCAGGAATAAAGACTAGAACACATTAAAACATAATCTCCGTTCTCAGAGAATTCAAATATAAGCTGTTCATTGGTTTGAGTCTAAAAGAGTGACACAAGGGAAGCAACCTTTGTACAAAGAATGCATCTACCAGGACGTGAAACATCAGATCTGACTTTATGAAGATACAAATTTAATCTCTGACCTGTCCTCAAAACTGCCAATGTAGTTCATTCTACTCTCACCCTTCAACTCCAGAATTATTAAATTTAAAATTCTTACATAGAGATATTCTAAAATCTTGCTATTCAGAGTGTGGTCTGTGGACCAGCAGCATCAGCATTACCAAGAGCTTGCTGGAAACATAGAATCTTGGGCCTCACTCCTGAGCTACTGAATTAGAATCTGAAGTTAAAAAAAAAATCCACAGGCAAGAGAATCAACTAGATTAAAGATTTTCAGTTAAAAAAGGCAGCAAGTAGCTGCCACATCACAATTACAAATACAAACAAAATACAATTGTGAAATGCAGCAATCAGTCTCATCATTAATACATTTCCAGTAGAATCAGCTGCACTCAAATATAGAGAATAATTTTTAGTTAATTATAAAATTCTAGTCTCAGATGAGCAAAGTCCTCTTGCTTCTCAAAATCTATAAATGTTCTGTGTAGCAGTTTTATACACATCACAGGGACTGAAAATTATTCTCTTTCAATAATACCTCATCTTATGAAAACATGAATTTGTAAAGAAATGGCCTCATTTGAGACATACTCAATGCTTCAAAACACCCTACTATTCTGCAAGAAGACAGATTCAACTTAATTATAATGAAGCAGATCACATAAGCTGCTTTATTTCATGAGTACTGATCCCAGTGAGACTTAAGAGAAAACTGACATGAGAGGAAAGAAACGACCCAGAGAAAAGCCTCCACCCTCCTACAAAAACCCAGTCTCTTTTCAACTTAAAAGAGAAGGGAAGAGAGGAAGAATGAAGGAAAAAGAGCAAGAAAAAGAAAGAAATCTAACCCAACTATCGAATTGAGTTAGAGCTCTGAGAAATACATACTAAGTTTTCATTATTCCTAGACTTAAATAGTTTATTCCTCAAATTTCTAAGTGTGGCTTCTTTGGAGAGTAAATGTCAAGATGACAAAAGAACAGGTGCATGTTTCCATAACCACGTCAGCCAGGCAGATTTGGTAGTTCTGGACCCAGTAAGAGATCCCTGATTTCATTGTGGTTTCCTAGCAGGTTGGAGAGCAGCATGCATGAGGTTAACAACTGATCCAGGGGCCTCTCCAGATGTCTTCTGGACTTTGCTACACTTAGGGGTTTCTGTGATTAGCTTTGATGGAAAGTTTTCTTTTCTGACCCTTAATTATCAATCTGTAAGGTCACTTAATTGGCATGATTCTGTTATTTCCAATATGCAACATTTTCTCTGCTCTAGGTTTTTCAAGCATCCTGAACATTAAAGGAAACAAGAAACAGAAATAAAACTCTTATTCAAAGTCTCCTGAGACAGCAAGGCCCGCCATGGAATCATCTTTTTTCTGAACTGGAAGCTAAAATGATACTGGATAGGTTAAGATTCAAGATACTTGATTAAAAAAGGCCTAAAGTAATTCTATGGAGCTTATGAATTATTAATAACAACATGAAAAGCCAGCTTCTGCAGAGTTATAACTCAAGCACATTTAATGATGAAAATACATAAGAAACCAATAAAATAGTTCATCAAAACAAAAGTATTATTCTGATGGATTAAAAAAACTCTTAATGGCTACATAAAATTATGGATTAAAACTGGGGAAGGAAAGACTGCTGGAAGCACAAGAGTGTTTTTTTTTTATATCCTAAGAGCTGCCAAGATAGAGTCCGCTAGGTATTAATCTAAATCACCACAGTAGGCTAATATCCTCAGGCAAAAGGGCTGCAAATAATATCAAAAATGAGGATGAAAGCCAGGTATTGATGAATATGATAAACACTTCATCTTCTCCCAAAGGTTGACAGGTTGGCTGAATACCTGGTGGGTATAATGCCAGGTTCAAGGAGATAACATGTTTCGCATGACATGAGAAGCTTTAGTGGGGTAAAAGCTTGGTCCTATATGGCAGTACCCATGATTGAACTCCATGGAAAACAAGTCCTTCATTCATGTTTCCAGAACAGTAAGAGCCACTGTCATTTGCTGGCAGCCCTGGAAGTGCCTTGAGGGCAGCCTTAAACACCTATGAAACTATGGCATTAAGCAGCTGTCATGGGAATGGAGAGGAGAGGAACTCTTCTGCAGAAGTATTCCACCTTAACTTCATCACTCCTGCCTCTGTCTGAGAGGCTTCTGTGATCATTTATGCTCAGTCCAATCTCTGGTTTTTAGTAAGTTTGACTTTGACCATTCCACAGCTGTGGGTATTGGGTAAAGACTTGGACTACCCCTTATTTTGAGTCTTTCTGGGGAAAAAAACAGCACAACCCAAGCAAACTGAACTGCAAAAACAGCTTTCCCCCTTATTTTGAGTCTTTCTGGGGAAAAAAACAGCGCAACCCAAGCAAACTGAATTGCAAAAACATGACTATGGGTAGCTTTCAAAGGACATGACTATGGGTAGCTTTCAAAGGACAGGAAATAGATATGTTCAGAGCATTTACATTAGATGTCAAGTGAAGAAAGTGAATTTCTTCTGAATAAATATCCTTGTTCTTCACTATTTTCCTCTCTAGCTATTCAGTACTTCACCCTAGAAACCACAAATGCATTTTGTGAGAGACAAGCATCTCTTAGGACTGAACTGAATGTCTAAATTTCTATAGGCAACTTTTACATACCTGCTTTCCTGTTTGGGTTCCTCATGGCCCATAAAGAGCTGACAATATAATTCTTGTTGCTGCTTTAACAACTATTAGCAAAACTTGTCTTGAGTTTCTCCTGAGCAACAAGAAGGTCAAACTGGTACCTCTAAGTATGTCGTAGGAATGGATACAAAGCAGGAAACAGGAGAATGGAGGCTGCATAAGCCTGAGCCAATGAGTAGTCTGGATAACCATTTGTTGCCTAAATACAGTTGCCACTCATGTGGGCAATCATTTCCTTCAGAATAGCTGCTACCATGGGCTCATTTTTTCACAGGCCAAATCTCTGTAACTAACTTGAATCAAATCACA